GAAACTTCATTGCAGCATCTCACGTAACCCTCACAACAAAGCTTCGAGGTGGGCATTCATCTATTTTCCAGCCAGGAAACTGAAGCTCTGGGAGGTGAGTGACCTGCCCGGGGACTCGCAGCTAGTCAGTTGCAGAGTTGATTCCCACCCTGGTCTATTTCTTCATGCACGACACAAAGGCTAAATGCATGGCTACGGGCCAGGCTCTCAAACCGTGCCTGCAACAGAAATCGCTGCATAACTTTCTACTACACTTAACAATATGATTATTATTAATTAATGCCATAGTTTATTGAGCCCCTGTGGTTCTAGGTGCTAGGGACAGAGAAAGCCAAGCGCTCTGCTCTCGTGGAGTGCAGTGCACGTAGGAAGGGTACGGACATAAACAAGTAATTTCAGAGAGTCCCAGTGCCACAGAGACAGGTGTAGGGGCCCAGGGACGAGGCTGTCCCCAGAGCTGGGGCTGCCCTCAGGGAGCTCCAGGGCCTTGTCAACCACAGGCTGCCACTTCCTGAGTGGGGCGGGACGTTTGCTCAGGGCGGCCGAATTCCCTCTGGAGTCTAATGCAACAGGTCTCATTTTCTTGCACACACTGTTAAACCAGATCTGAACGTTAAGCATTCAAGAAAGCCCAATCTGCAAATATTTACCTTTCGTTCGGCAGCTTCCGACCCTCCCTTTGGGAGGCCCAATTAAGACACCCTCCTTGGGGACGGCGGGCAGGGTGATGCTGATCCGGGATGTTCCTCAGAGCTGGGACAGGCGAGGCTGCTCTCAGGCAAGGGGGGTACAGGCTTTTCCTGCCCCCTGAAACTGACATAGGTGCATACTGGCCCTGCCACGTGAGCACATGCACACACGCGTGCACACACACCTTTCTTCCACACACCACTGTATTTGAAAGGCCCTAAAAACCATTCAGAATCTGCCCAACTGGTCCTTAGACCTGTGATCGTCTCTTGCAGAGAACTATCTACGAGGAGCTGGGTCGGGGTGGGGGTGGGAAAGGGACAGTCCAAGCCTTGTCTGGCCATCAGCCCCCACAGGGCACCACCTTGACCCCAGTCCCCAGGAGGACAGCGTGAAAGGCCAGGATGAAGTGGGCTCTACAAAGGCCTCTCCTGCAGAGAGGAACGGCAGGGCATCAGGGAGACTGCGCACCCCGTCCCAGGGTGTGCGTTACCCCAGACCCCCACTCTGCACCTTGCCTGCCCCTCACAAGGTGAGCTCTTCCTCTGTGGGACTCCCCTCCCCTATGTGCCAGGTCCCACTTCAGTGCCCAGCACAGCTGCCGATCAGGCCTGAGAAGATGCACAGCACGGGGATTGACTGTGTGGCCTGGGTTCAAATCCTAGCTCCAGCACTCACCAGCTGTGTGACCTTGGGCAAGTCACTTTCCCTCTCTGTGCCTCGATTTTGTGTCTATAAAATGGGGATGACAATAACACCTACACCTCATAGAGGTGTTGGGGACATTAACTGAGTCACATCTAAGTCATTTAGAGGAGGGCCTGATTCAGGTCAAGCTATAATTATTAGCAGTACCTCTTGGTCACTGCCAAGCTCATGCTTCACTCTGAGGTCCAGCATTAGGAGCAGAAGGGACAGGAACTGTCACACACACAAAGCCCTCCACGTGCCAGGCACTGTGCCCAGCATGTCACATAGGTGATCAAATTTCAGCCTTCCCTAGACATGGAGAACTTTGGACGTTCCCATCATGGGTCAGAAGAAACAAGCCCAGAGGGGCTCACTGCCTTGCCCCAAGTCACACAGCAGCAAAAGGACAGAAACTGGAAAACTCACTCCAAACCCCTGCTCTTCCCACCGCACCCTCTGTCCCCCAAGGAGGAGGACACATTGGCAGGTGGGGCCATGGATCTCCTTCTCTTGTGTCCCTGGCTGTGGTTTCAGGGACGCCAGCCACTGCGGGATTTCAGCCCCGCTTTGGACCCCCTGCTCAACCCCCGGCAAATCTGTGCAGAGATCTGCGTGCTCTGAGCTCCTTGTAGGGAGGCACAAAAAGAAAAAAAAAAAGCAAAAGAAATAGAACAGCGCAGCTAAGCTGCAATGCTCTCCTCAGAGGGAAAGGGAAACAACGTCCGATGAACCTCCACACAACGTTCAGGTCATGAATGTGTCAAGCGGTATTCTCCACACATGCCGCCGAGCATCCATCCTGGGCCTGAGCTGCTGGGGACCATTGGAACCGGGGCATCAGCGAACAGCAGCTTCCTGCTGATGGCGTTCGGAGAGGTCCTGTCCTCTGCCTCAGCAGAACGAGGTGCGTTTTACCCTCCGATGCCCCAGGAGGCCGATCTCCCCTCACCGAGATGATGACTGACTGCAGCGTTAATGGGGCAGTTTCAGCCATCAGGCTGTTTATGTGCCTGCTCTGAACGCTTACCGAGTGCCTGCTCTGGGCCCCGTGCCACGCTGGGCACTGCACCTTCCACAGCCCGGGGCGAGTCGAGGCGTGCACCAGGTTAGCCTGACCTCCCTGGCCACCGCTGCCCGGCCTGGCGCTGAACACCTGACTTACGCCGGGCAGTCACATCCTCTCTCCCGGGGCTCTGGCGTGGAGGTGCTGGCACTCGGCATCCGCGAGATGGCGGTGGGGCTGGCACTGAAAGGGCATGAGGGAGCCAGGGCTGAGGCCTCCAAAGGGAGGGAAGAATCCAGCTGGTCACCAGAAAACCCTGTATGGGCACTTATAAATGTCCAGCCCAATGCTGGGGGCTCAGGAAACGGCAGGGGACAAAACAGCAAAGACCTTCGACCACAGAGCTCACAGCCTGCAAACCAGCAAGCAGAGAAGCAAGAAAACACTGGCGGGGGGTGTCAGGTGCTACCAAAAATAGCAGCAGGATAAAGCGTGACCAGGCCAGGGTATATGGGGTGTGCACGTTTAGATGAGGTGACCAGGGAAGGCCTCACGGGAGCATTCCAGGCAGGGGCACAACACGGACAGATGCCCTGTGGTGGGGCTGAGCACGGAGTGTCAAGGGATGGAAAAGAGGTTCATGTGGCAGAGGAAAGAGAGGGCTCTGTGACAGAGAGGGTGCCGTGTGGCCCCGCCATGGCCCCCATGCTCCTCCTCTGCTGTCACCGGCCCCAAGGTCCTTTCAATTCCATGCCACGGAAAGGCATCACTGCATGTCTCATTCGGCTCCCCCAGAAATAGACCCAGTGACAAGGATTTGGGGACAGGTAGTTTACTGGGGAGGAGGAGCCAGGACACACGGGGAGTGGAGAGGGGAAGGGAGGAGCCAGTACAGGGTGTGTTGACAGGCAGGTCCCTGCTGAGGGTACCTGGGACCCAGTCCCGCTGGGGACCTCTGAGAGGCGCTGCAGAGCACACCCCAGCGCTGTCTCACCTAGGGGCGGGAAGCTGGGGTCTTTGTCCACCAACACCCACCAGCTCCCTCTTGCGGAAGACAAAGCACACGGGGCAGAGAGAGCAGGAGGAGGCCCCCAGTCTGCACACGAACCACCAGCACTGAGCACATCTGTCCAGGGCACCACAGCACCTGCTTGGACTCCGGGCGGCTGCCTGGGTGTGATCCCAGCTCTGCTTCTTCTGTCTGGGTGGCCTGATCCCTGGGGACACTGCCAGCTCTGTTTTCAGTCTTGGAGACAGCCACACAGACCTAGGGCCCGACTCCACCTCCATCACTGTGCAAGCTTCAGTAAGTGGCTTAATTTCTCTGAGCCTCAGTTTTCCTCATCTGTAAATGGGGCTAACATACTAATTGCATAGGGGGGTCCTGAGGATGAAATTAAATGCCTGGGGCTCAGGGCCTGGCACACAACTCGTGCTCCATAAATAGCAGTTGTGATGGTTGACTCTGGCCTAGGGCTGCTGTTGTCTCTCCTCTCTCAAGAGGAAATTGTCATTGATCATTCTTGGGCCCTACAGGTACAGGGGACCAGGTAGGATGGGCTAGGGTGTGGCCAAGATGTGAATCAGAACAGCCCGGGCCCCATGTCTGCTACCACCAACTGCGGCAGGCCCGGGAGGCAGATGCAGGTCAGAGAGTGGCACGGCTGTGGTTATGTGGGGTCTGCTGCACCCACGGCACAGGGATGCAGGATGGACGAAGGGGGACCACGCCCCTCACAGCCCAGAAGAGACTGGAGCTGCTACCAGGGGGTAGGTTGGTGCTAGACCAGGGAGCGGCTCTGGGTGGAGCTGGGAGAAGAGCAGGGGGAGGCGAGGTGGATACAGCGGGAACACTGAGCTCACTCTCTGCAGGGAGGGCTCAGAAACCCCAGATTTCAGGGCACTGAGGCTTCGAGTGGCTTTATCAGAAGAAGAGGTCTGGGAGGAGTTCTGCCTAAGGATAACTCCAGCTTCCAAAATCCATCCAGTCAGCCATCTGCCTATCTGCCTTTCTACTCATCTTCCTTTCCCTTCCTCCCTCCTTTCCTCCATCCATTAATCTATCCACCTAATTATCAACCCACCCAACCATCCATCCATCCATCCACCTACCTATCCACTCACCTATCCATCCATCCACCATTTATTGCCACCTGTTCCCAGCTGGACTCTGAAGACTCATGTGACCACATGTAGTCCCCGCCCCTGAGGAGCCACCTCCTCTAGCAGCCATCACCAATCCCGCAGTGGGTCCTCTTTTTGCTCAGTGCCGTGACACAGCCCCAGAAGGAAACCTCACTTCAGCCTTTTTATCGTGATTCTGAGAAGCACGAGGCCTAATGGCAAACACTCAAACCTTCTGAGTTTCTCATGCTCTGATCACGTAAGCCCAAGGCAACCTCATGCCCCAGAAAACATTAAAATGTCCCAGAAATTCCAACCCGGTGGGGTCCAAACTCTGCCTCGCTCGGCCTGTCCCTCCTGCCCCACAGCCTCCCAGAACACCTCTGTCAGACCACTCATTCCACTTCTAGACTAGGGGCCCTGTGGCCACTGAGGCCAGGCCCTGCACTTCGGATTGCCAGTGGTGGCAAGAGGTGACCCCGTGTGCACTGACCTCTCCCGGAAGTACTTGATGGCCTCAGGGTCTATGAAGGTCGGCTCCTCTCGGTAGCCCTGCTCAAAGACCTTGCGCTTGTGCCGGAACTCAATGACCGTCTTGGTGTAGGAGTTGAGCGTGGTGACAGAGGCTGCCATGCAGCAGGTAAAGGAGCCCCACGCCAGGCTGCCGAGAGATCAGGAGAGAGATGCCACGGTGAGGGTGGGCCAGGGACAGGGAATACCCCCATCCACCAAACATTCATGCATCCCTGCCCGGCTGCCTCCTCTGGGCAAGACACGAGCAGGTGCTGCCGTAGAGAACAGACGTGGTCCCCGCCCCACTCACAGGCTGGTCTGGGGACAGAATGGTCTGTACATTGCGACAGTGATAAGACAGAGGTCATGACGGGGTGGCACAAGGACAGCACATCATGCCGTCCAAGGGGGCTGGCGACAGGGAAGGTTACCCAGAGCACAGCAGTGCTCGTGCTGAGTCTGGTAGGATCGCTGGGAGCTGGCCCGGGGACAGGGCCTTCCAGGAGAGGGGACCAGTGTGTGCCAAGGCACAGAGCCGTGTGACAGCAGGGAGCCTTCCACAGACTGTCGGAGGCTTGGGGTACTGGAGTGAGGATGCCTGAGATTAGTCGGAGTTGATGACGGAGAAGAAGATGAGGACTTCTTTTCCATGAGCGCTAGATCACCTTTCTTCACACGTGCCCTGGGCAAGATGCTTACTTGGCCTCACGTTGCTCATGTCCACTTTAATGGACATACCAGTAGCATGACCCCAAGGGTTGTTTCAAGGGTTAAAGACGATCCATTGACATCTTAGCAGTGTCCGGCACGTGGCAGGCACTCAAGAAACGCGCGCCGTCATTACTACCGTTCCTAGCAACGTTCTTCCCATCTGTTTCTACAGGGCTTGGTTTGCAAGCTCTCCCTGTGACAGGTGACGTCATAACGACCTGCCTGGCTCTCTCCTCCGCACCTTTCTGTCTCCACAGCCGGGGCTTGGCTGCCCTCACCTGGTGTGTGCTGAGCCCAGCCTGGTGCTGGAGAATGCAGCCTAGCCACATCTGGAAAGACGGGAAAGGTGGGCGTGGATCGAGTGGTTCCAGTTCCAGGAATGGCCTCTGGCCCCATTCCCCTGACCGAGACCGCGCAGACCGCGCATTCACACTTAGTCCCAGGAGTGGGGTGCCTTCCTGGCTCTGGTGACACCTGGCCTGTTTTCTGGGTCCCAGTTTTCCATCTCTGCCCTGGTGACTGGTTTCCCCCAAATCAAGGACTCAATTTTGCTGTTCCAACCCTGCCCTGTCTGAGCACTCCGGGCCTCCCCTGCTCCTGGCTCATGCAGCTGGTCTCTGAACATCACCCCCGCCTCGCATCCCCCATGGTCAGTGCAGCCCACCGCTCTTCCCCTTGTCAGCCTCCGAGCACCCCAGGGGAAGCAAGGGAAAATCCGAGGATTCAGCCTTTCCCAAAGGGATCCACGATAATCACGTATTTCCCTTAACACCTAACCCATTAATAGATTCTCCTGATATTTTCGTGATGAGGAGCTAATTTAGATCTTCCAGAAGCCCTGAGTGTCTGCAATGGACAGTTTTGGGGTGTCAGCCTGGCCCCTCCGAGAACTTCTCCGTTCACCAAAGGGTCCAGTAGGTGACCCACTCCCTGTTCAAAGACGACTGGACATGGGCTGAACATCTGGCCAGAGCTGGTCCCATCAGGTACTCTCCGGAGCAGGGAAGCTGGAGATTCTAGTTCAATCTGGGATGTCTCTTTGAACCAGCAGGGTGGAAACTCAGAACTTGAGGATGGAGAAAGCAGAAGCAGGCTTTCCCCGGCATTCTGCGAGTACGTTGGTTTTGCCCGGCCCGCATCCATTCTTCCTTCCGGGGACAGCACCCTGATTCTGCTAAGGAATCACCCACCCTTCCTCGCAGACCATGTGGGCTGGCCCCGCCCCACCCTCTCCTGGTGAGCACATGACCTCGGCCTGGCCAACGAGAGTGCTGCTTCCCTCCGGCCACAGTAATTGGTTCAGGCACAGGCATGTGACCCAAGTCAGACCCGTGACACTCCCTCCCCAGGACTTTGGCTGAAGCTATTGGGAAGCAGAGCTCCTCTTTCTTCTGGGGTGCTAAGCCAGTGGGATCTGAGCCAGCAGTTGATGGGGACCCTCTTGCCACCACCCGGCCTGAGGATGAAGCTGACCCAGAAGAAAGCAGAGCCTTGAAAAGGAGCCAGATCCCCGAGCTAAAGCCATTATCCTTGGACTCTTCAATCACGGGAGCCCAAATTCCTTTTATTAAAAAAAACTGTTTTCCCCTTAAGTCAATTTGGATTGGGTTTCTGTCATTGGCAGCAAAAGTTCTTATACAATTACTTTTTATACATTATCTTCTTTTGCATAAGTTAGTTGAAGTGAATTTCTTCTAGTCTACACAGCCAGAGATTTTAACCATGGCCAAGGTTGACTCTCCACCCCGATGGCCCAGGCAGGGCATGTCACCCCCTCCTCCATGGGCGGTCCCTGTCCACCATCTCTGAGAAGCCCCCTCCCCATCACTCTGTCACCTGTCCTTGTTGAATTTCATCACAGCCTTCATCTGATCGCACCCTGTAATTCTCCTGTATCTTTTCTCCCCTTTCATTTATGTACCCTTTGTTTTGAAATTAAAATTTTCATATTGAGATAATTATAGATTCACAGTGTAGCTGTGAGAAGTAATACAGAGAAAGATCCTGTGGACACTTTAGCCGGTCGTCCCCAGTGATAACATCTTGCAAAACTAGTGTCGTAAAGTAACACAGTATCACAAGGATACTGACATGGGCACAGTCAACACACAGACCGCTGTGTTTTGCCCGGTGGCCACTTTATAGCCACACCCACTTCCCTCCCGACCTCCCCCAACTCCTGGCAACCACGAATCTTTTCTTCATTTCTATAATCTTACCACTTCAAGAATTTTATATAAATAAAATCATACAGTATGTATGTTTGGGATTGGCTTTTTCCTCTCAGTATAATTCTGTAGAGAATCATCAAAGTTGTGTGTATAGACAGTTTGCTCCTTTATACTGAACAGTACTCCTGCCAGCAATGTACAAGCGTCACCAGCTTTCGATGTTGTCGCTTTTTTTTTTATTTTAGCTATTCTGATAAAGGTGTAGTAGTATCTCATTGCAGCCCTACTCTGCATCTCCCTAACAGTTACTGGAGTTGAACAAGCTTGTGTTTGTTTCTTTGCTATCTGCATATCCTCTTGTGCAAAATGTCTGTGGGTGTTTTTTGCCCACTTTCTAACCGGATTGTTTTCCTGTTGTTTACTGTTGAGTTTTGAGAGCTCCTTATGTACCCTAGAGATTAGC